TCTCTCTCTCTCTCTCTCTCTCTCTCTCTCTCTCTCTCTCTCTCTCTCTCTGTGTGTGTGTGTGTGTGTGTGTGTGTGTGTGTGTGTGTTTCTGTATGTGTGTGCGTGGGTTTGTAGAATCGTTGCAGTATAAAAATAGATCTATCGAGATGTTCGTGTATCTCAGCAAGAAGATAGCTATTCCGAACGGCGTGAAGCTGCGGAGCGTTGCCTGGAACTCGGAGCAGGGGTGGATTGCCTGTGGAGGGGACTCCGGGCTGCTGAAGGTACTGAAGTTGGAAAGCGGACCAGCGAGAGATGCGAAAGCCTCTGGGCGAAAGGGAGGAGCGACTGCTGCAGGGGGGGCAGGTGCTGCCAACAATCTCTCAATGAATCAGACACTGGAAGGTCATAATGGGGCAGTGGTGGTGGTGCAATGGAACGAGAACTACCGCAAACTTACCACCAGCGATCAGTATGGGCTTATCATCGTTTGGATGCTCCATAAAGGCATGTGGTTCGAAGAGATGATCAATAATCGAAACAAGAGTGTGGTTAAGGATATGAAATGGACATCGGACGGTCAGAAAATCTGTATCGTCTACGAGGATGGGGCTGTGATCGTGGGGTCGGTCGACGGAAACAGACTGTGGGGCAAAGAGCTGCCTTTGCAGCTAGCCCTTGTGGAATGGTCACCAGATGGCCGACTAATCCTATTCTGTACTCTCGAAGGGGAATGTTATATCTTTGATCAGAATGGCAATCAAATGGCAAGGCTGCCTCTCTTATCGGATTCAGTAGTCGAACAGGGTAGAACCCACAACAACAACACCACCGCCAACAACAACAACAGCAATGACAACAACAACAACAACAATGAGAACACAGATGAGGAGAAGAACACCAACTACAACCAGAATAGCAGCAGCAAGACTGCAATCATTGGTGTTGACTGGTACGATGGACTGGAAGGCTACAGCGATCCCAACTCCCCGACACTGGCCATCGGGATGGCGAATGGCAAGTTGCAGTTGATGCGTCACGAAACCGACGAGGAGCCAATCATTGTAGAGACCTATATGAAATCAACCCATCTCAAGTGGAACTCTAACGGAACCGTACTAGCCGTGGGAGGGGTGCAAACGGCGTCTAACGGAACGGTACTAGCCGTGGGAGGAGTCGTCCACCAAACTGCCACAACGGCAACTGCAGGAACAGCAGCAGCAGCAGCAGCAGCAGCACCAGGACCAGGAGCAGGACCAGGAGGGGGATCTGTAGGTCTTGGGTCGGATTTGAAAGAGATAACCGTTGTGCAGTTCCTAAGTAACACTGGTACCCACCTGCGGACACTTCGAGTCCCCGGTTCAGGAATCAGTGGTTTATCTTGGGAAGGGTGCAGTTTACGGATAGCTTTAGCCGTGGATTCTTACATATACTTCGCCAACGTACGGCCGGACTACAAGTGGGGTTGGCTTGGGACCGTTTGTGCCTATTCTTTCATGAAACTTGACAGAGCAGAACACTGCATTATGTTCTGGGACACCGAGAGGAACGAGACCTTCTGCAAGTACGTGAAGAGATTGATAGACATAAAAGCTGCAGGGGATCATTGTGTGGTGTCTACAAGGGGGGAGGAACCTGGTCAGTATATCCTCATTCTTTGCAATGCTATAGGGAGCCCTATCGATTCCAAGTACTTAGACATAGAACCTATCCATCTTGCGATCAGTGAAACACATGTGTTTGCTGCGTCAGAGGATATTGTGTACACGTGGCAGTACAACACGGCGGCTCCGACTCCTCGGCCTCGCCAACGTCCATGGACATCGGGGCTGGGCTCCACGACCGATAACATGGCCAACAGTGGCCGTAACGGTAGCACGATGAGCGATAAGATAATGAAGGGATATCAAGAAGAGAAGACCTTCCACATTGACGACTCGTCTCTTCCGTCCGATAAGCAGCAGCCGGCAGCAAATCAAAGGGGCCCGGGAGGAGGAGGAGGAGGAGGGGGTTCAGAGAAACCCAGCTTAAAGAGTAAAGATCCCATAACTTGTATTTGTGCATCAGATAAGCTAGTGATGGTTGGGCGAGCGTCGGGGGTTGTCCATCGCTACACTCTCCCTCTGCTTGTCCTGGAGAACAAGGACAAGCTCAACTGCAGTCCCCAGTTCCTCTCCCTCAACTGCAACTCCTCTAGGATGGCAGTAGTAGACAGCAACGGGGTCTTGACACTGTACGATCTCAATTACCATCCCGAAGTAGGAGGAGTAGGAGTAGGAGGAGGAGGAGGAGGAGGAGTAACGACGGGAAGCAGTGTGGGAAGGCACCTAAGAGAGTTCGAGCGCAAGGATGTATGGGATCTACGTTGGGCAAGCGACGACGAGGAGTTGTTGGCAGTGATGGAGAAGACGAGGATGTACATCTTTCGAGGGCTCGATCCCGAGGAGCCTATCTCTAGCAGCGCATACATCTGCAGTTTTGATGATCTCAGGATTCGAGCTGTGCACCTTGATGAGGTAATGAAGCAACCGGATCAACCAGAGAAGGATTTGGTGGTGGATTTCGAGACTAAGTCCCTCAGGGATACCAGGCAGATACTGGCAACGGTCAGCCTCCAAGACGCTTACACCTACGTTGACGAGCACTCTCATCCTCGTTTGTGGAGGATTCTAGCTGAGCACGCCCTGGAAAAGCTGGACTTAGTCATTGCGGACAAAGCCTTCGTGCGTTGCCAGGACTACCACGGAATTCTGTTCGTCAAGGGGCTGCAAATCCTGGCAGACAGTGCCAAACAGAAGGCGGAGGTGTGCACTTACTTTCGACGTTTCGATGAGGCGGAGAGCATATATATGGATATGGACCGTCCAGACCTTGCGATCGAGCTCCGGATGCGGCTAGGGGATTGGTTCAGGGTGGAGAAGCTTGCCCAGAATGGGGCAGGGGACGACGCTCTGCTGGCTCTCGCTTGGACCAGCATAGGCGAGTACTATGCAGATAGACAGAAGTGGCCCAAGGCAGCTCACTACTTCTCCCAAGCAAAGAACACGGCGAAGCTAGCCGAGTGCCTGTATATGCTTGAGAACTGGCAAGCGCTGGAAAAGCTAGTGCCGAGCATTCCAGATGGTTCCCTGCTGCTGAACTCCTTGGGAGAGAAGTTCGTGTCCGTAGGCATGTGCGAGAACGCTGTGGCTGCGTACCAGAAAGTGGGAGAAGTGGGTGTCAAGAAGGCCATTGACTGCTGCATTTTACTTAATCAGTGGGACCGAGCGGTGCAGCTGGCAGAGGCACACAACTTCAGCCAGATTGAGACTCTCCTGACCAAGTATGCCTCCCACTTGCTTGAGAAGAAGAAGCCCATGCAGGCAATCGAACTGTACAGAAAAGCCGGTAGACACGCAGATGCAGCCCGCCTGGCCAATCGCCTAGCTCAAGACTTTGCTTCCACGAGTAATTCTAATCCCTTGAGGGTGAAGAAACTCTACGTGTTGGCAGCATTAGAGGTGGAGAAATTCCGCAAGAAGACGATAGATATACAGATGACCACGGGGGGAAGGGGGGTAACTAGTCAGCAACAACCACATATGACTATGGCAGCTGCAACTCTAGAAGGTCTAGTTCAACACGAAGAAGCTGCAAGCTTAGACAAAAGCCTGACGAACGCATGGCATGGAGCCGAAGGCTATCACCTTTGGCTGCTGAGTCAGCGCCAGATGCACAACAACCAGATTGCTGCGGCCATGACCACCACCCTCAGGCTGTGCGATTACGAAGACGTGCTGGATGCATTCGACATCTACTCGCTTGTGGCAATCACCTCCTACTTCAACAAGTGCTTCGCACAATGCTCCAAAGCTTTCATCAGACTCGAGAGAATGAGTGAAACCAGTCGACGGGAGAAGCACAAGGCATACTCCGATCTTGCAATGTCCATATTTATCGACCACCCACCAGTGGATCCTGTGGGGGGACCGAAGATAGTTTGTCCTCAGTGCAAACAGCCCACGCAAGACTGGAGGAGCAGGTGCCCTTCGCCCACCTGCAACAACCCGCTGCCTTTCTGCGTGGCAAGTGGGCGGAGTATTGGAGAAGAGCCCAGAATCAAGTGCCACGTGTGCAGGCATCTGATAATCACGTCCGAGCTGGGACCACACACCCGTAGCTGCCCTCTTTGTCACTCCGCTCTCGACATCCACCGTGGAAGTCATATGCATCACAGAGGAAGCACCGTCATGGCTCCCAATCCGTTCTTCAAGTCGATCCATTAACCCGATCCATCCATCCATTCATCCAATCAATCAACCAACCAATCAATCAATCAATCAATCAATGACAATCAAATCAATCAACCAAATCAATCAATCAATCAATCAATGCATGTCAATCATCGCAGAGGAAGCACCGTCATGGCTCCCAATCTGTTCTTCAAGTCAATCCATTGAGTCATTGACCCAATCTAGTGCACCATTCATCCAATCAATCAATCAATCAATCAATCAATGTTCTTCAAGTCAATTCACTGACCGAATCAGTTGATCCATTCATCCGATTAATGAATCAATCAATCGATCAACTGATCGATCGATTGATCAATCAAGCAATCCAGTAAGCAAATCGGATTAAAGCACAGCGGGAAGCAATGGCATACGCGTAACAGAGGAAACACCATCATGGCTCCCAATCCCTTCTTCAAGTCTTTTTTTTTTTTTTTTTTTCAAGTCAATCTGTTGGCCAAATTAAGCAATTCATTCATCGGATCAATCAATCAATCCGCTTCTCATCAGCAAATCGAATTGCTGCAGCAGGGGAGACCATGAAATAAACATCACAATTGAAACACCGTGATGACTACTAATGCCTTCTTCAAGGCAATCACATGTGTCCTATCAATCGATCCATTCACCTAATCTATCAATCAATCAATCAATCAATCAATCAATGAATCGATCACTCAATCACTCAATCAACCAATCCTTGTCAGCAAATCGAATCAATCCGTCGGATCGTTCAAATAGATCGCATCGAGGGTGATGAGATCAAGACAAGACAAACACAAAGACAAACACAAAGACAAGATGGGGTTCGCCACTGGGCTACTTGGAGCAGAGGTCCTACGGTCGATTGTGGTCGTGCCGGGGAAATGTAGCGGAATGGCCTGTTCGTCATTCCCACTTCTCTTTTGTGTCTGGCGCCCGAGTCTAGGGCTATCTCTACCATTGCCTGATTGATTCATTGATTGGCTAGCTACCTCTACCATTGCCTGATTGATTAATTGATTCAATCTGATTGGCTAACTGATTGATTACTTCAATTTAGTTGATTGACTGGTTGATTGATTGGCCAGTTGATTGGTTTATTCAACTTCATTGATCGATTGCACTAGCTATCACATGCCTTACCGCATTCGCCTCTGGACTTTTCCTTTTTCATTTTTTAAACGTCGTGGAGATGTGCATGGGGTGAAGGTTAGAGCGATGGATGGCAGCAAGGTTGGATTTCTGGGTCTTCTGTCAGCTCTTAGCAAAGGTGTTTATGATTTGGAGGCCTCATCAAAGATCAACAAACATAGGCCGGCCGGTTTGGAGCGGAAGCCTCAAGGACTCAAGGAGTGAAGGAAGCTCACACTCAAGAGTAGCGTGGCTTTTCAGGGGGTGGGGGGGGAAGAGAGTAGTAACGCTATGGTGGGAGAACAACCATGGGGGACGACAAGCAGCATGGAGCTCCAAACAGAACCCAGAAATGCAGCAGCACGGAATGCAAGCACTGACTGACTGACGAATGTGCAAGTCTTACGAAGGGTATAACTCCACACAGGCAGGTATGGATGGTTATAAGTCCGGGCAGGCAGGTACCCTGGCCTCAAGGTCAACCACGATCTGACGAGTCATCAACCTGGTACCCGAGTGATGTGGCCGAGCAGTACCGGGACAGCAGGATGGGCTCCAAAGTGAACTCAGAACTCTAGAAATGCAGCAGTGCATAATGCAGCATATGGGTACAAGTCCGAACAGATATGGGTATATGTAAGTCCGGGCAGGAAGGTACCGTGGTGGTATGATCGTCCATTTCCCCAACGTAATATCAACCCGATTCAACCGAACGAAAGCACTTTTTTTTTTGTTGTTGGGGGGGGGGGGGGGGGTTGCCCTGGGGCCCTGGGGGTGATACCAGCATCCTCCTGTGATACACTCCCTGCAGATGTCTGCTGTCTATTGCTGGGAAGATGCACAGCACGGATGAGTCGGTGTAGAACCGAACATTTGTGAGATTGTATTACACAACGAGTTTGTGAAAGAAGTGTTTTCCTGTGTGTGTGTGTGTGTGTGTGTTGGAGGAGGGGAGGGGGGTGGGGAGCACAGGGGAGGATACCAGCATCCTCCTGTGATGAGCCGGTGGACAGCGGAACCTTTGTGAGATTGTATTACAAAATGAGTCTCCGAAAGAAGTGTTTCCTGTGAGTTCTTCGATGGAGCAATGCTGCAGACGAGGCCATGAGTGGGAGTCCAGGCCCATGGGTTGGAGCCATGATTGTGATAGGAACCCTTGGGTGATCTGACAGGCGGGTAACTTGGTAGCCGAATATCGGGGCGAGGGGCACGGCTACAGATGCATGACTCGGAACTGAACTGAGGAATGCAGCAGTACAGAATGCAACTACGGAGTGGCTACTGAATGCTGGGGCGAGGGGTACGGCTACAGATGCATGGACTCCAAACTGAACTCAGAAGTGCAGCTGGGCCAATTTAAACCATCAGTACGTTTCCCAGCTATTTTTTGAAGTTGCGGCATGCCGTCGCAACTTGCGGGGGCTCAGCCTCCATAGCAAAATGGCGTGGGGTGCCAGCCAAAAGGAGGTCCACGTCCATTCGTTTTTTTTTTTGGTGCGCAGGGCGTTTTCAGCCCCAGAGAAAAGTGCCTTGGAAGTACTGGTGACTTGAACCACCAGTATATTTCCCATCCATTTGTCTCCTGTGCTGCCATGCTCGCACAGCAACTTTTGGGGCTCTCGCCACAACTTTTGGGGCTCGCGCCGCAACTTTCGGGGCTTGCGCCGCAGCTTTTGGGGCTCGGCCTACAGGAGGAAAATGGCTAGCAGCGCCAGCCAAAAGAAGGCCCACTTGACGTTTTTCAGCCCCATAGAAAAGTGCCTTGGAAGTACTGGTGGCTTAAACCACCAGCATGTTTCCCATCTGTTTTCCTCCTGCGCTGCCACGCTCGCGCCGCAACGTTTGGGGCTCGGCCTGCACGAGAAAAATGGCTCGCAGCGCGCCTGCACGAGAAAAATGGCTCGCAGCGCCAGCCAAAAGAAGGCCCACGCTGATTTGTTATTTTTGGCGTTCCAGTCTCGGCAAACAAAGGGTCAAAACTACTACCGTCTTCCCCCGAACATAACACACCCTAAAAATGAATGTATACAAGCTATATTTCCAGCCAGATATGGGCAAAATCAGGGTGCGTTGTGTTCGGGGGAAGACGGTAGTGGTTTGAGTTCGGGCAGACAGTATGGGTATAAGTGGGGCAGGCATGTAGGGTCAACCTTTGTATAAGGTGGACCAGGGCCCAATGTTAAGGCCAGTACTGGGTAGCGAAATAGTGGGGTCGACACCCGGCCGAGAGGTACTGCTACAGGGTTGGTTATCCTGTAAATTAATTGCTTCAACCTGATCTGACAGGTCAGTAACCCAGTAGCCGCATAGCCGCGCCGAGGGTTACGGTTACGGGGTTGGTTATCCCGTAAATTAATTGCTACTGATAGCAATTTTTTATTTTTTTTTAATTTTAGATTTTCTTCTTCTTCTTCTTCTTCTTCTTCTTCTTGTCCTCCTTCTCCTCCTCCTCCTCCTCCTCTTCTTCTTCTTGTTCTTCTTCTTCTTCTTGTCCAACCTCCTCCTTCTTGTCCTCCTCCTCCTCCTCCTCGTCCTCCTCTCCTTTGTCACCCCCGCTGAGCCATAGCCGTAGCCTTAGCGAATTTTTTTTTTTAATCTTAAATTTTCTTCTTCTTCTTCTTCTTCTTCTTCTTCTTCTTCTTATTCTTATTCTTCTTGTCCTCCTCCTCCTCCTCCTCCTCCTCCTCCTCCTCCTCCTCTTCTTCTTCTTTTTGTCCTCCTCCTCCTCGTCCTCCTCTCCTTTGTCCCCCCCGCTGAGCCATAGCCATAGCCTTTGCAATTTTTTTTTTTTTTAATCTTAGATCTTCTTCTTCTTCGTCGTCTTCTTCTTCTTCGTGGTTGTCCTCACCCCCGTAGCCATATCTCTCCACCCACCATCAATTACCTTACCACGGGCGACAACATGGCGGGTGACGGCGGTGGCGGGACTGGAGGATCTACACGCAGGCAGGGCAAAGATTGAGTGCAGGATGCTGGTGACAAGCCTTCCTCGAGCACGGCACCGGTCAGCAAGGAGGCAACACCGGGTACTGACCCTCGTCTCTTTCAACCCAAGGATAGTAAGGAACAGTTGAAGCTGCAGAAGAAGAATGTTGTGTGGGAATGGGTTGAACAGGGACAACAGGCAATGCCAATTGGACGCGGCGAGTATTGGCTCAGGTGTCGCTTATGCTGCAAGATCTTCATGGGCTCATCGACGAAGCTGGTCGACCATTTCCTAAAACCGGGGAAGCCGTGTACCTTGTGGACCGGGAAGATTGTTGATGCGCTATTCTCGAAGGGTGGCAAGGTTAAGCCCAACGACAAAAACACTCGGTACTTACTGCAAAACTTTAGAGGACTCGCCAGGGGTGCGGAGGGAGATGAGGAGCCTAGGGGGGGTGGATCTGATGTTGAGGATCGAATGTTTGAGCCGGTGTCACCTACTATTCTAGACCGGTGTACTTCACAAGTAACAAGTTGTTGCGCAGACAGTTGCAGCGGCTACAGATGATGAGGGTGGGGGGGGATGTTGATGTGGACACTGGTGAAGGGCAACACACCGGTCAGCGGATGGTGGTCAAGAAACAAACAACAATCACGAAGTGGATCGACAATGAAGCCCAAAAGAAGTTGGACATTGCTTGGGCAGAGACAATGTTCAGGGCAGGCATTGCTTTCAACTTCCTGAACTTCGGCACAACACAGACTTTTCATGATGCGTACTTGGAAATTGCCAATGCAAGGCCGAAAGTGAAGTTGTCTACCTACAAGCACATGCGGACGGTGATGTTGGTGTATGTGTACTTGAAGGTGCAAAAGGCACTCAACCCCATGACTGTGTGTTGGGACAAAACTGGTTGCACGTTCATCACAGACGGGTCTACTGATCGGAAGAATAGGCCGGTGATGAATTTCCTGACAGCAGGGAAGAAAGGAGCCGTTCTTGTGACCACTTTTCGTATGACAGGGAGGAAGAAGAACGCAGTAACGTTGGCAAAGTTATGGGAGCAAATCATGCGCGAGATCGGGCTGCAACGCATCAACGCCATTTGTACCGACAACGCGAAGGTAAACAAGAAGGCGGCCCAGATCTTGGAGAGGCGGACAAATAGAGATGTTGCGAGGATACCTTGGGTACCATGTGGAGTGCACTGCTGCAGCTTGTTGTTGAAGGACCTGAGCAATCTTTCATGGGTGAAGGACACCGTGAAGACGGCAACACCATCGTCAAGCTCATAAGGAACCATCACACTACCAATGGTCTGATGATGACAATCGATGACTCCTTGACATTGCTGCGCCCGACTGAGGTCCGGTTTGGGTCGGTGTACCAGATGTTGCACATACTATTGAACGGGGAGGATGTGTTGAACGAGATGGTGGATGGCAAGTTTGCTGCGAGGTGGAAGGCATTGAGGTGGTCAGGAGAGAAGTAGCAAAGAAAGGCAGACCTTGTCTACTTTACATTGAGGACTGAGAGTTGGTGGGCGAAGGTCAAGAAAATTGTGGTTTTCATGGAGCCTGTGTACGGTTTGTTGAAAAGGATGGACGAGGAAGGAGTTAGTCCCACCAACCTCGTAGAGTTCGACGATATGATTGCAAGGAAATTGTCAAATGTCGTCCTCACGAAGACGGAGAGGGAAGACGTTATGGCAAAGGTGAATGATCGCGTGAAGATGATGAGACAACCCGCACACGCAGCTGCGTTTCTTCTCGATCCACGAAGGAGAGACCCCAGTTGGCTGAACGATCCAGACAACCCCCTCGTGCAAAACGCAATGCGTTTCTTGATGAGGCAGATTGGGCGGACGTGGAATTCAAAGCAGCATGTTGACATGTGGGATTATTTGTGGAAGTTCTTGAGAGAGCCTGTGGAAGGGGAAGTCCGGAAAGACGAACACATGTGGACAGACCGTGCAAGAGAAGGAGCCATGCGACGTGCACCTCAGGATTGGTGGGGATTACATGGTGGAGATATCCCGGAATTGCAGAAGATTGCCATCAGAGTGTTGGGAATGTGGAGCACAGCCACACCTGCGGAGCGCAATTGGGCTTCAATGGACTTCGTTCATTCGAAGAGGAGAAACAGCCTCTCGCCGGAGTCATTGGAGAAACTTGTGTACATTCATTGGAACATGCAGCTACTGCGCGTTCCAGACAACAAGGAGAATGGCTACGTTGACACGTGGAGGTCCTTCTTCGAGCCGTTGATGGAGCCGACAAAGGAAGAGCAGTCTGTTCAGGAGGGCACGATGGACAAGACTGCAAACAATGTGGAGGAGGAGAAGAGGCAACAGAGATTGGCAAAGGCTCCGAAAGGACGGGTTCCAGAGGGGCTCGAAGATGAGGACTCAACCGGGAGCAGCGACTTCGAGGATCTTGTTTGTGTGGAAGGGAAGTGTTGGAACGAATTCACTTCCGACGAGAGTGATGACGAGGATGACATTGGCGAGGACTCCGATTTCGAGTTGGGGGCAAAGCCAGCAGTCCCCGCCACTACATACGTCAGTCGGAGGCTGAGGAGGCGTGAAAAGGAGGCGGAGGTGCTGCCTTCTGACCCCGTGGCGAGAGTGGACACAGACATCGAGTTCTTGACGCACCCGTTGCCAGCACCCAGTACGTGATGCACACCACCTGGTGCCTGATGCAGACGAGGAGGAAGCAGCGCGGGCCAAGGTTATGGCGGACAGAGATGCTGCTCTTGTTCAGAAGCGTACGCAGGAGGAGGAGGCTCAGCGTGCTGCTGTCCCAACCCGAAGGGAGAGAGAGAGACAAACGAGCCAGGTTGAGAAAGAGCACACACATCACCTGATCGACAACGTGGAAGAGGAGGCGGATGTGCATGCACCACATGAAGGCTGTTTGCAGACTGTTGGAGAGGACCTTCCAGGAGTCAAGGGAGAAAAAGAGCAGCGGGAAAAAAATGAGGAACATGAAGAAGAAGAAAATTTGCGGCAGGAGGGAGTTCACTTGACGGAGGCTGCGGGAGAGCAATGTGAAGAACAGGGAAAAGAGCTGCGGCAACCACCACCCGCGGTGTACACACGAAGACTCCTGCCCCCTACACTGCAGCGGCCTGCAACGCTAGAGGAGCACCAGGATCAGCAGGCTGTGGTTGGGGAAAAGCGGCAAGAACTGCAAGCAGCAGTCCGAGGAGCAGCACACCACATTGCCAAGCCACCGTACCCTGCAGAGAACGAGGATGCCCAACATGATAACCTTTGGAAAAGCAGGGCAGGGCGAAAGAGGAAAGCCCCGGTGGATGAAGTCCCTGCAAAGCCGCGCCGAGATCGAGACAGGCCCCCCAACCCAAAGGCGGGTGATAATGCTCGAAAAAAGAAACAGCGCGGTGCATGTAGGCGCCACAAAGTCGAAGTTGCCGAGGATGACCCCTCTTCGGATGAGGGAGGTGTGGAGTCGCCCGAGGATGAGATGGACGAAGGGGATTCCGAGAGAGAGAGAGAGAGAGAGAGAGAGAGAGAGAGAGAGAGAGAGAGAGAGAGAGAGAGAGAGAGAGAGATCTGACGTGGACACGNAGAGAGAGAGAGAGAGAGAGAGAGAGAGAGAGAGAGAGAGAGAGAGAGAGAGAGAGAGAGAGAGAGAGATCTGACGTGGACACGTGAAACTGCTGTAGATTGTGGACTTAAGGAATTTGGAAGTCCCTGCTCAGTGCTGTCGATTTTCTATCCTCTTTTTGTTGTTCTTCTTCTTCTTGTTGAACTTATTTTCATCATCGTTGTCTTCTTTGCATTCGTCTCACTCACACTGTTGATAGACTGGTCTTCTATCTGAAATGTATGCTGCTGCTTATGTATTAAACATTATCCGAGCTTTGGACCATCGGATTCCACTACCGATCGGTCACCTACTCTCGATCTCTTAGCAAGCCAATGAGCGAATGCTACAGCATTGCAAAGCAAACCGAAAGCGATTTGCCCTCGCCCGAACATCGAGTGCCAAAGCCAGGGGCCCCGCGCCGGAAGAAAACCCAACAAGCACTCCGGACCCAATACGGGTGGGATTAATTCAGAAAGACGATCACTTCTTACGGATTAAACCGATTCCGTGGAAGTCCGCGGAATGTGATATTGAAATTTGGGGAGTTCCTTACAACGCGATAATAGATTCAGGAGCCGCTGTGTTGGCTATTTCACTAAGAGTGGTCGAAAGGGCCGGTAGGAAAAACGACCTGATCATGCTCACCGAGAAAGATCAGCTCGTTTCGGAAGATGAGGAAAAGATTAAAACTGTGGGGAGAATGACCAATGTCGCTTTCCGATTAGGTAAAGTACACGCACTTGGGGATTTCGTAGTACTAGATGTTAATACGTACAACGTTCTTTTCGGACTTCCCGCTCTAGTGGCGTTACGAGCAAACCTGGATTTCGAACGATGATTGATCGTCCTCCGAAATACAGGAGGAAAACCCTACGCGGTGCCCATGCGATTGACCCTTCGCACTGCTATTAATGCGGTTCCGCGGGTCTCGCCGATGATGGTCGGGACTCTCCGCATGATCTCCTAGGGCGAACCCACAGAAGGAAAATCACCTGATGATGCGGAAAGCAGTGACGAAGATGATCCGGAGATCTTGAAATTAGTACGACAACGCGTTTACTACCCGCCACCCAAGACGATAGCGAAAACGATGCAACTGACCAACCGAAAAATTCAAAGGACCAAGGCAATGATCTTGGGAGAGCCCCTCGTGCAGATTTCGAGGATGGTCGACTCCTTGGAACCCCCTCAAACTCTGTACGAAGGGATCACCCCTCTCCTCGCCAGGTATAGAGATAAAAAGCATTATTGCGACATTACGTAACTATCTAGGTCTTTGCTAACATCGGCTAAAGAAGTGAGGTTGTTACGCTTGGGGCCGGAAGCAAGCTCTCTGGAACCCCTTGAGCGTTTTGAAGCAGAAACAGACGGACTGGGGATAAAGATTGCAACTAAGGAAGTGCCATGGCAGGATGTTTGCGACGGGATTACCCCGGAAGGACACGTGGCAATCCGGGAAGAAGATGCTTAGATGATGGCCACGGTGTTCTCCTGGCGATCGGATCATTCATTCATCTCAGCGCCTCCACCCGACTTGGCAAAACAGGCGCACACGAAACATATCGACGTTCGGATCTGGGACCAACTTTTCGAACTATGCGTTCCACAGTATGTGCCTGATGAAATCCACCGGGTCATTGCGGATAGTCTAACAGAATATCGAGAAGCGATTAGCATGTCTGATACTGATATTGGGTTGTCGTTGGTAATCCAACATGAAATACAAACAGGAAATCACTCCTCGATTTATTGCAAACCTTATCGCTATTCCCTGATTGAACGCAAAAAGGCTCTCGAACGAATTCAGGAGTTTGAAGCCAGTGGTTGGATCGAACCCGCTACCGGACCTTGGTCTTTTCCCGTAGTGTTAGTACCGAAGAAAAACGGAGCGATTCGCATTTGTATTGATTATCGCAAGCTGAATGAAATCACGATTAAAGATGTATATCCCCTCCCCCGGATTGATGATATGTTGGATACGATTGGATGCGCTAATTATTTCAGCAAGTTTGATATTCGGCATGACTTCCATCATATTCTGGTGAGGGAAGAAGATCGACCAAAAACGGCCTTCGTATTGTTTGAGGGCACGTGGCAGTGGGTTCGGTGTCCGATGGGGATTTGCAATGCGCCTGCCACGTTTCAACGAGCGATGAACATGACGTTCTAGAACTTCTTCAACAAGACACGGCTGATGCAGGGAATGATTAACTTCTGCGTGATCGTGTACATGGACGACATCCTGGTCTATTCGGAGACCTATCACGGGTACGCGCAACACATCGAATGGACATTAAGTGCATTGAGAGACGCTGGGTTCAAGATTGCGCTTGAGAAGAGCGAATTTTTCCTCTCGGAAATTTCATTCCTGGGATATGTCGTGACACGTGGAGGATTGCGGCCAGACTCGAGAAAAGTTGCGGCAGTGAGGGAAGCTCCGGGTACTTGGCCCGGCTATCGGCCGTGGAGAAACATAGAGTAAGAGTACTAAAAACATTTATGGTCGGATGAATTTGGGCGCTCCTGTAGTGGCCCGTACGTTTCCTATAACTATGGCTCGTTTATGGGCACGACTTTAGGAAGCACTGCTGGTTTAACTAAGATGATAAATAAGGTTTGGATCCCACTATTGTTAGTGAGGCAATTTAGGGTAAAATTTCGGATCCCGCAATGCACCGGGGCTTTCGCGACCCGAAACAAATTTCGCCTGTTTCTAGTCACTATGTGCATCGTGTCGACCAGGCCGCGACACCCGCCGCGAAACGACACTCGTTTTGCAAAAGCCGCCAGCCTTCTGCCCTGTTCCCTAAAAGATGCGAGCACCAAAAAAACAAAGTTTTTTTTTTTTTTTTTCATTTACGGCAGTGCGATTGGGTCCGACGCAAATTGACCAACATATTTCGGCAGGATTTTTGCGAAAGCACCTCGAAGGACGGGCCTGTGGAGTCCAAAAAAAAATTTACGGACCAAAAGGCAAGGACCCTCCTTTCGAGGGGTTTTTTCGATTTTTTGTTAAAAGCGCCATGTGGGATCCATGTGAGGCCCAACCTCACGCCTGACGCGACTTCCTGATTGGAGTGGGATGTGGGCTTGGAAGTGCGAAAAGGGGTATGCCAAGGATTTCTGGGGAAAGTGGGGGAGTCTTAAGGGCATGAATGCAATTAGGCGAGTCAGGGGTGCGTGCGCAAGGGACTCACGGTCTGGTGGGGCCGGGGCACTGTGGGTGACGGGTTACGGGGAAGTCCCTCCGTGGTGGGGGTGGTCCTGAAAAGTTAGGCCGTCGGGGGCCGCCACGKGGCGCAGGTCGCCGCGYGCCCGGGTTGGGCCTTCGGAATTCCGGAGTTCTCTGTCCGCCGCTACGTCGGCAGTTCACGCAAAACGTATTGGGCCAGTAGGGGGCTATGGCGGGCCACGGGACGACACTGAGTTGATGATATGGGAGAAGGAGGCGGAAGGGAGGGAAACTAGTGGTGATCTCAACAAATCCCGGGTGGGTGAAGTACTAGGTGTGGTCGGGGGAAGGGAAATCGGAGCACCGAGGGTCGCTAGTGGTGGCACAGTGGAATTCCCGCGGACATAGCCCATTCTCCGTGTGACAAGGGTACCGTGTCCTTATGAGTTCGTTTATTATAGGGGTGAAATAGTCCGGGTCATAGGACGAGTCTGAGTTCAAAGATCGCGTTATGGTATCATCGTCGATGGGATAGCTCGGGTCGGGATATCGTCACTGCGCACGGACACGTGTAGGACAGGCAGATTCAGTGATGCCTCAGTATGTTCGTACGGGATGAGGGTTCCACCTCAAGTCTTCTTGGGTGGGCGAATCGACGTACGGGAATGCATGTAAGTGCGCGACTCGGATCGCGTTCACACGTATTCTCGTGCGGTGTTCGTGGGGTCAATCCCCATATCGTTTAATTGCTTCGGATTCTGCAAGATGCGACCATATCACAACCCCCCCCCCCCCCCCCCCCATTGCGAGGTAAACAAGAACGAGGACAAAATTGCTATCAGTGTCAGATCCTTATCCTATTTACAGCTGCATCAGTTGTGAGCAAGGGTTTGATACAAGCAAAGGCAAGGACCGGGATTCTCAGCAGTGATGTAGATGCGCAAGCATAACGTCCCTACATCCATACATTCAGCAATCATACACATCGCGCAATCGAGATGGACAAAGCAGTGACAAGTGTGAGCAAAAACCCAAGTCTCGGTTCCCAAAAGCCAAAAATGAAAATAAGAACGGGCAAACCCCCCGGAGCCGTAATCAAAATGTATGTACACAGACGAAGAGGGGGAAGAGACAAAGAAACAGCAAACCCACGTCCATCGACCTCAACTCTCTCTCCTTCTCTCTCTCTCTCTCTGATGCGGACAGTCCGTCGTCACGCACCCACCCACGAAGTTGTCACCCCGCTTAGTCCTCCCGCACCCGTTGGATTCGCCCGTGCCCACAGTCCGTCGTGGCCCACGTCAATCCCGCGCATTCGGCACCAGCCCGTCGGGCCGCCCAACTCCTACTCTATTCACCTCTTACTTTGCTCGTGTGCTGATCCTTCCTGATCGCGCAACCCCGAGCTTCCAACAACAGGTCAAGAGAGCTGACTAATCACGCAGCCGAAATTTATAGCGTGCATGCATGTGTGAAGAACGCGGAATTACCAGGACTTAGAGTGAGGATTAGAAAGGGAACGCTTGCGTTCTACATGATCGGCCGAGGCGTGGGGGACGTAACCCTTCTCCACGCATCGATCCGAGCATGCAAGCCGCGGCTTACAAAACTTCAGCAAAAGAAAGAGAGGGAGGGCGAGAGAGACGAAGTGCAAGAGGAAAGATACAGTTACAATGGCGCCCTCTGCCCAAAATTGCAGTCACACACACGATTAAGGGCGCCCACTAATCAGAGTACCGTTGCAGCCGCATGAAAAAGCGCGTAGACAAAAGGCGCAGCGCGGCAGACAAAGTCTTAATTACTGAATTCCTAAATTCCTATCTAGTGCGGAAAAGTAAAAAGCAAACATTCCAGAAAGAAAGTCCAAAATCCCGAGAGCCATCGGGGCTCGACAAAATTCGAAAAAGATTCAAAAGGAAATTCAAAAAGAACGAAACAATTTCCCGCGCGATGTCCGCGCCCAAAAGATTGAACTCGAAACGAAAGAAATGACGTCAACATTTATTAATCGCGCGCGTGGTGACGCGCCAGACATCCATCCGACCAATCGCCCAGCTGGCCGTCCCCGGACACACCCAGCCCCGAAGAAGCGACGAAAAAGACGAAGAAGCAAGGGTACTGATGCAATTTTCCACCGATCCCGATTTCCCGTAAGTGGCCCAATCTTCCCAGCTTAGGACCCCTCGTTGCAACCGCGCAGAAACTCGCGCGTTATAGAAAGTGGTTCGTCACATATGTGACGCCCGGGGGGTTCCAATATTAGCAAGCTCCTGCTTGTTTCTTGACACGTTTCGATTTCTCTAATCGATCGACACGTGGAGCACTTCTCTTTATGCCACTTACCGTTTGATCGCGTGTGGACGTCATCCAACATGGCAACTTGGCTCTTCTACTATCTCCTCGGATTGGGCTCTCGACAATTCAAGGATGGGATCTTTGTCGTGCCGTCGCCGCGACATGCGTCCATTACCAGCTGCATCAGTAATTAACCGGGAGGGGGAAAGGAAGTTGGTATATGGCGGCATGGCGGGGCGGAGGGCTTAGGGGTAGCGGGGGCAGGAACCTTTCCATCCCGGCTGCAGTCTCCGGGAGTTCTTGGTAACGGACAATGCGGTGGAGACTGGGGAATCGATTGCCAGTGCGAGGGAGTGACGCGAGATAGTCGGGGTAGAGGGTGGTAAAGGTTCGGAAGAGCGCCGCACGGAAACGATCGCGATCTTCGCATGCGGGGATAGTCCCCGTTGTCACGCAATAAACCTCAATCATATTGTGGCCTCGCCACGCGGCACTGAAAAGCAAGACATGGAGGCAAAAGGCCGGGACGGTGCATTGGAGGGAAGGATGGGGATGCACTACGGCAGCGAGGCGAGCGGCGTAGAAGTGGCGGAAGGTACTGCGGGGGAACGGATTGGAGGGGAACGTGACGGGGGTGGTGAGCTGGCGAAGGGTGAGGTAGTCAAGGGGACGGCGAGAGAGTAATCGGGGACGAAGGCCGATCGCCCGTATTGGTACGTCGGCGAACTGAGGGATGGGTTGAGGAGGGGGGGGATCGGCTTCGTCGCCGTGCCGATGGGGCCGGAGTCGTGGCCGCGAGGTTGCCATCTTCAGGTCGGGGCGGCTCCGGATCTCGATTCGGGTCGTCGCAGATCTGCAGACTCGCCGCGCCTGCGAAATCTAACTCCGTCTTTCCGGCCGCAATCTCTTCCCTTTTACGGGCCACCTCGGGATCTTCTGCCTTTGTGCCTGTGCGCAGCGCTTCTTCCGGCACGGCTTCCCACTCTGATCCAGCAGATTCTTCTTCGTGCCCTTCTTCTCTTTTTTCGTCCTCTTCCTCGCTCTGCTCCCCCTCGCTATGCTCGCTATAGCTTCCTTCTTCGGGGGTTTCGTCTTCTTCCCCGAGTACTTCGTCGCCTTCCTCACTTTCTTCCCCCTCGTTTTCCCCGTCGTCACTCTCAGTGCTTTCTTCCTCCTCTTCCTCCTCTTGGATGGCCGCAAGCTGCTCCGCCGTAGGCTGCCTGAAGAAGGCAGGGTCACGAATCGCCCGGGGATCCAAATGTTGTCACTGCGACGGCGGGATGCGTTCCGCGGCTCCTTCTACGCAAGCCGACCACTGAAGGTGAGGTGTCAAGGTGCGAGAAAGGACGTGGGGAACTGGATGCTCGTCGTCTTGCGAGATGATGTCAAGGGGGAGGTCGTCGGCCAGCTGCGCTACCGGGATCGTGAGCTCTTGCGTGATAAGTTCCTAATGGTCGGGCCGTACTGCACCGAATAAGAATGCGAGGAGCTCTCCCTCCACGTTGGTGCGCCAGGCTTGGATAAACAGCAACTCCAGCCGCTCTATGCAAGGCGGTTGCGCTTCGTCCTCGATCCACGTCAGCCGTACTTCGACCAASCACAGTGAAAKCTCTACGAAGTCTTCGCGCCACAGGTCCCAGTATGGGGGACGAATGTCGGGGACAGCAAGGGTCGTTAGGCAGTAGGAAAGGCGAGGATGGATATCGGACTACCAGAAGGTGGGGAAGGTGGAGGGGAGATCAAAAATGGAAATCGGAGAAAGACTCATTGGGGCCGAGGTAAAGGAACAACAACAGGGAGGATCGCCGACGGATCACG